ACTATTACATTAGAGGGCCTTAACTACAATCTAAGGGAGAGGAAGGAGTAAAATAAATAAATACCCAACTATTACAACTTGGCATTTAAATGCCTTTCAAATGATCAAAATTGAGCTAAAATAAATATACAAAATTAAAACAAATAAAGCGAATAGATAAATAAATAAAATAAAAAAAATTCAAAAGGCATGTAATTAAGCACATAAAGTCACATAGGGGCACATAAAGTCAAGTAAAATCAAAATTAGGGGTAGAGTGTACCTCTCTTAAATTGGTACTCTAATGAAGTGAAATTTTCTTATTTACCCTCCCAAAATCAAAGAAAAGATCAAGGCATCACCTTAATTAACAAATAATCACATGAAATGGAAATAAACACAAAATTGAATCACTCAAAACATTCGAATAAACTAAACAACCCATATTCATCGAATTAAAACAAACAATGACCCATTTGAAAGAATTAAAGAAGTTCGAGGGATCAGTTTATTATTATTACAAATATTAAGGATCTAAAAAGAAATAAATTAAAATTAAGGACTTAAAGTGAAACCTACCAATCAAATGATAAAAGTCATAAAAAATAAATGAAAACTATTTGCTATAATTAAACAAGCAAAATACCCAAGATTCCTAAAAAATTCAAATGAAAACTACAAATTTAGAAAAAGTTGTTAAACCCTTCAAATTCATCCCAAAACTCATTAAAAATCTATCCAAAAAGCCGTGTTAAGACATTTTAGAAACAAATGGCATGTTAAGGGAACAAAATTGGTTAAGTTATCCAATTGATTGAGCCATAGTGGCATTAGACAAAAACAACAGGGAGCAAAGTGCAATTTTGATAACATTTGCATGCATGCATCGAAGAAACATTTCTCTCGTTTCTGATTTCCTTTCCTCTGCATCATGCAGCGTCCCATTTCCAACCGAACACATCATCAACTTTTAATCAAGAACAAACACAAGAAGCAACCCATCTCAATATGATGAAAGGAAAAATGTGGGCTAACATTCAGCAAGATAAAAAAAAACCATGGAAGAGCCAAGGAAACTCAACCATGCGATCTTCTGCAAAATCTGAGTTCGTGCAACTTTTCCTAATAGTTTGAAACTTCAGCAACCTTTGGTTATACACCTAAATGTGTTTGTGTGAAGTAACTCAAGCAAGGTCTACCCGATTCGACAACTGAACACAAGTGCAAGAATTTCAACCTATGCTTGTTACCATTGCCCCAAAATGCATTCATCTCTTTCCAATAGATCCACAAGTGCAAACCATATAAAAAATGCAGCAAAGGTGCATAAGGAAGAAACTTGCGGTGATCCCAATTAAACAACAACAACTCTTGGCTATTTGAGTGTTTGCACAACAACAAAGGAAAGAAAGAAGATGACAGCATGCCCTTTCGACAAAACAAAATCCAACCCTCTAGCTTAATTACCAAGAATATCAATGGAGCTACCCCAACTTTAACGAGAGAAACAGGTTCTTAGGACAAGAACCTACCCAACCGAAAAGCAAACAGCCACGAAGGAACGGATTTAAGAGACAAACATGCATGACCAAAACACCAAAACAAACCCAACTCTCAAAACAAACCTCCAAAACCTCAACCCAAATCTCCAAGAAAACAAACCCAGATCATTAAGACATGATAAACACAATGTGCATGATTCACGTTCCCTTAGTTTCAGAGCTAATGGCTTTTTCTAAACGCAGCTTTAATAGCAGATATTGTTCATGGCATTCCAGTCAAGTAACGAACAAAAGCAAGCATGTCAACCGAGCCACAACTTCAGCAACCCAAGAAAGAAAAAAAAAATATCTACCCGTACTGCTGCAACAAGCCGAAAGCTTTGAGCATGTTGTAGCAGATTTTCGTGTACCAACCTTCCTCTAAAAACCCCGAAAAACTCGACCATTGTAAGGAGTTAAAGTGCAACCTCTGCTACTTCAAGATTCAGCAGCCGTACCCAGCAAGTGTTAACCGCAACTCATACAAGAAAACAGTCTCGAAATACCCAAATAAAACACACAAAAGAATGAAAAATCTGTAATGTGGGAATGAACTTGCAACATTCCAGATTCATTCAAAGGCTTTTCCACCAGTTTATGGGTATTTTCATGGAAATCACTTAACCAATTAATCATTCATTAATATCTCCTTACACAACAAACGAAAAGAAGGCAACTACAATGTGCCATTTTAACAAAATAAGACAAACCGATCCGTCTAGCATTAAGGTCATCAACTAAATTACCCAACCTGATGAACAGAGCTTCTGAGACAAAAACATGCAGGGTAGGAACGAATAGTCATGCAAAGTTGGGAACTTTTCCACATTTTCTCACTCAGCTGAAGCACATTTACGCAATAACTCCCACGAGACCCCCTGCCTCACTACCCAAACCCCCAAATGTTATAGCTTCCTAGCGTTGTTCAGATTATCTCAATACAATCACCTACTATCAACAGCTGCAACATGCGACAGAAGATAAAAATGCAGCAGAGGCATAAAGAAAGAAACTTGCGCGATAAATTCATACCATGACATACCAATCAAACAACCAACAAACACACTACAACATAGGAACAAATTCTAGAAAAAAACAGCAAACGGATTCTAGGGAGGGTAAGTAACCTCCAACGTACCTAAACGTAGATAAACAGCAGAAAGGGAAAGGCTTTGGAAGAGCTTTGTGCTGCCAAACTTGACGGCAACGATGGTGACTGCTCCCCGCAAGTGAAGATAGCTTCAGTTCCTCTCTTGGTTTTTTCCTATTTCTTTCCCTTCTTCCACTCTTTTCTTGCTCTCCTTCCTTCCCTCAATCTCGTAATTACTCCCTTCAACCCGAGCCCAAAAAATCTCTCCTTTTTTTTGTTTTGTTTTCTTCTTCTCCTCACTTTCTGCCCAGAACCTGTTTCCTTTCCTTTTCTTTCTAGCCGCCCTTCTATTTTCTCCACTGGTTCCTCTCGGTTATCTCCCTTTTTCTCTCTTTTCCTCCCTCTACTCTCTAGCTCTTTCTCGTTACTCTTTTCTCCAACCCTAGCTGCCCTCTTCTATCCTCTATCCTTCCTTTTCCGCTGCTCTTTTAGCTATTTAAATGAGATAAGGTTTGTCAAACCCTCGTCTCAATGGCTCTCAGAAAACCATTTTTGTGGGATTATTAGAGCCGTTAGAAGGCTTCTCTCTAGATCCTTCTTGATGTTTGGATTAAAGCCAAGTGGCTTTGGTACTAACATGATCGAATGAGGAAAACAAAGCAAGAAATTTGAGTGGAAAAAGATGCGGGCAATGAAGCTACAATTTTTTGTTTCTGTACTGGCAATGCTTCTGTACGGCTTCAAGAAAATGATGCGTGCGTACATAGCACGCGCGCATGAGGCATTCATTTTTCATATTTTTTTCAAATTAATTAACAATAATAAAATGATTTTCTTAACAAAATGAAAATAAAACAAGATCAACAAAATAAATTAAAAATGCTAAAATTTTTGTGTTTGATTGATGATTTTTCCCTTTTTATTTTATTTTATTTCAAAAGCTGATTTTCATTACTTTCTCTCTCTTTTTTTTTCATCAAAATCAATTTAGATAAACAAACAACGTTAATTCCTAACTGAAGTTACGTTGCAACAAATTTTCATTTATTTTAAATAGATTGAATCTAAAAGGATTAAAACATATTTTTGTGAAAATTTTTTCTTTTCCGGAAATTTAATGCAAAATATCTTAGAAATAAAAGTGAAACTAATGAACCTAATTTATAAAAATAATTTAAAACCCTAAATATCATTTAATCCATAAAATAAAACAGAACGAGAATAACAAAGCTAACAAATAAATCTAAAATTGAATTAAATAAGAAATAAAGCTAAAAAATCAAATAAATGAAAATTTGGTGTCTACAATGAGAGGTGGTAAATCCTTATAGGTTATCCATTACCTTTTCATACTTTAAGTATATACCTATATGTTAGTGATGTGAGCATTCCCTGTTACAGGAGCAATCATATAACAGAAAAATATAACTGTCGTACTCAAAATACCATGATAACATTAAGTCTAAGGAACACTTACATAAATGCCACTTAGAGATTAATCTTTTAGCACTTAAAAGATATCTCTATGTGAATCAATCTAGTGGAGTTGATCATCCAATCAAGCACCCATATACTAGTTTAGGTGTCTTACACATTATAGTAGATGAGATCTACTACTTCTTAAATAAAAGCGATATAGTATATGTTAATCTAAACGTATTAACAATGCCCTTTTTGTTAATATTTTGACTAGATATATTTAAGAGTAAACCTTGTATATAATCAAATGAATCTCATCATCATAACTCTTATGATTTTAAAGATAAGATTTACTCTAAGTACTTTATCATACTTATATAAATATATATAATAAAGATGTCATTTATTATAATATAAATAGTTCATAAATATTATATTATACTTATATAAATGAATATGATAAAGATATCATTTATTATGACATAAATAATTCAAATGTATATTAAACCCTAGAAATTAATTGACTTTAAGGCATATGCACTTTCAGTAAAGTCTTGTATCACTTATTGGTCACAAAATCGGTTAAAGATCAAATTCGACTTTAGTTAAAATTATAAAGTGGTTATAGGGTGTTTTTAAAAAATTGAGAAATTTTGTGTCTTGCACTTTTCGTAGACTCACTCATTTGTTGTGTCAAGTGCGAAAGAGAAATTAATTTTTTTATTAGTTCAAATAAATTATCTATACCGGAAAAGGACAAAACATGAACATTTAATACTTTTTTCAATTTTGACTACTTTTTTGTTTTTCCTAATGCTGGGAATTAGTTTAACATAAAGGGTGATCAGCAGGATTCGAAATGGTAACCTCTACGTAAGAATCCAAGAGATAAAAAATTACTTAAATATGCTACTGTCGATTTGTACTGCTACTATTCATGCATTCATTTGCAGCTGCACCCAAAAAAATAAATAAGCAAAAAAACAAAAAGAAAGGAGCAGCTCCGGAAAGTCCAAACCCCTTTGGCGGAGCATTCAATCTGTGGCATCTAGCAAATAAGCTCTCCTCTCCAACAACGCCTCGTTTTCATCGACACCCACTCTCTTCAAACCTTCCCCTGCCTCCCCCCAAACCCCCAATCTGTTTCTTCATACTTTTCCTATAATCTATTATTCCTTCGTTCTCTTTCTTTCTCTGAGGAATTTTATCAAACAAATTAACGCATTACATTATCTTAAGGTATGCTCTCATTGATTACAGATCTCAGCATACTCAATGGCATTTTCACCTTCCTGCATTACGTTACAATGCTCTGATTTCCCAAATTGCTAACACGTTCTTGCTTTTTTGTGGGTTCCTTGTATTTTTCCCCTTTGAAAGATTTAGAAGAAAGAAGAACTTGAATTGTGGGTGATCAGAGAATGGATTCTGCAGCTATTACTTCTGTTTGCAGTAAATCCCTTTGCTCAACTCGCTCTACTCCTGTGAGTTCCACTCTTGTTTTTCTACCTTTCTTGTTATTTGTTTATTCCCAATTATGGTTTCCTTTAATGGGCTAGTTGCATGTTTTCTGCTGTTCTTAGGATCAGTTCTTTTTCCTTTTTCTTGGTTGGATTATTGAAATTGAGCTGTTTTTCGTTGTGAAAACTTGACCTTTTTTTTTTTTTTTTTTTTTCTGAAAAGTAACATTTTCTTTAATCACATGAATGTTCGAGTAATAAATCAAGTCAAGGTTAATATTAGCACATTGGAGGTGATTTATTTAGTGCGGCAGAATGCAGCTTCATTAAATTGGTTGAAAAGTCTGTAATTTGAGCAAATTCATTAGAAGAGTTGTATTTAGTTTGGAACTTACGCATCAAGGAAAAGCATCGTTTGCGTTTTTGGCATATTAAATTTGTTTGGGACTGATATGATGCTGGTTCGCCTTGTTAGTTTACTTTTTATGTTTTTTCTTGGATCACACGAATTGACTTGATAGTGCTGCTGCTGCTGCTGCTTCATCTTAGGGTTTATTCCTGGGGACAACAAGAGGCATTAGGAGCTCCCAGTGTAGCTTCGTGGTAGGAAATAAGGTGCAGTTCCCTCGGCAGATTGCTCAAGCTTCTCGGCTTGTTTCTAAATCTGGAAAAAGTGGTGGGGCTCTTGCCACTACATGCCGTGCAGAGAAAATTCTGATAGCAAATCGTGGAGAAATTGCTGTTCGTGTCATTCGAACTGCACATGAAATGGGAATTCCTTGTGTAGCTGTTTACTCTACCATAGATAAGGATGCGCTTCACGTTAAACTGGCTGATGAGTCAGTTTGCATTGGAGAAGCTCCCAGCAGTCAATCGTAAGTTCTTTTGATGAATGCTTACTTCGTTGTTTATCACATGATTGAAAGAAAGAGTTGCTGATTTATTTTATTTTATCTTTATTTCTTTCCCGCTTACTGCTTATTATCATGACTGAATTTTCAACATGCTGGAAATAAAATGTGAACATACAAGTTCAATGCAAAATCAATGTCCATACTTTGCAAGTCATGATACCTTAAACCAAAAATCCTTGTGGCAGTGTATGTTCCATGGACTTTTCACTTTACCCTGCTGTACCCATGATTGACCCTTCACTTTATGCTAGAGTAGCCATTTCTGTGGGACACCATAGCCGAGCCCAGGTGACATAGGTGATAGCTGCAGGTACTGCATAGATCATTAACCATCTTGAGCTTATTCATGTCCTTGTGAAAAACACTTCTATCGTTGTCCATTGATTATATATTAGCTTACTGTGTTCCACTCTAACCCCATTGCTTTCCTCAATGAGCTTTCCATTTTTGCTTAGAAAATGTAGAATAACACAGAAAATGTAGGAAGGTGTTATAGTCTACATTTCTCTTCCATCCCACCCTCCCTCCCGGGGACAACAAAAAAAGAATTTTGTGTTGAATCTCTACTTCTCTGCTCCACATGCTCCAAAAAAAGAATTTTCTTATATTGAGCTGAAAGTATAAAAGCTCTAGAGTTGTATATATGATGTTATGTGAGTCCATTTTCGACTGAGTGATGGAGGACCAACCAGCTCATGAACTAAAAACTATAAGAAGAAACAATAAGGGTCCTGATGTTATGATTATATTGGAGTAAGCAACCATTTGTACGCTACAATGTTTTGATAGGATTTTCTTTGTTGAAGTCTTAATTTTCTGTTTTTCTTTCAGCCCAATTTAGAGGATTCTAACTCAAATCCGTCCTTATTTTGTTTACTCTGGCTATATGTTGTATAATACAATCCATGAATGTGCAAGAATCTTAAGTTATGATGAAAGTGAAGAAGAGCGTTAACTTTTAGACCTCTTTAAATATATTTATAGGGGATATACAGTTTCAGAAGATATGAATGGGAGAGCGCATCAAAAAGAGAGAGAAATAGTAGATTGATTGTTTCCGTTTGTCTTTGATCAACTCCTAGATCTTGGCAATTCTCTTGATAGAGTTCTCAAGGATTTACCTCAGATGATCGTCAGATCTATTTTTACCCAATTGTTGATCCAAGTCCCAACTTGTCAAGTATTTGTACTACTTTGGGTCTGGGTCTCATCTCAACTGTGAATTCATGTTTGCAAATTAACTCTATCCAAAATTTGTCCTGAGCTTCGCATCATGATGAGCATTTTAGTTAGGGACCCTAGTGGTGTCCTGGAAAGTAGATTAAGTAGATTAATTATATAGATGATAACTGTTTTGGTGAAACCAGTTATGTTGTGTACGCATGCCTTGGCCAAGTCTGAATTGGGCCTGCACTTGGGGGTTTGTATTCAGAAAATATTTTGTCCATGCTTACAGCTTACGATCTTAGATGAGGTAGTGAATTAGTAAGTTTCAGCAGTTTTTGACCAATTCCAAAGAAAGTCTTTGCAGTTTTTAGCCAATTCTTGCCTGATTTATTATTCATTTTTTCAGACTGCCAAATATGTGTGGGCAAAGTTGCTTCATTGTCTTGTCTAGTTGTGTATGTGTATTGGGGATGTTCAGTAGGAGTATTGATTTCTTATTGTCTAAAGTACTTAGGCGTTATTCCTCATGCAATTTTTAGCTGATAATAATCCTTTGTGATCTGTATTTAAGTAAGCAAGTTAGATAAGCTGTATTTGAGATAATTTTTTTTGCCGGGGGGGGGGATGGACTTTAGATGATGATTTATCTAGACATGATTTAGGATTTGACACTCTGGTTTGTTTCTGATTTTGCTGTATATTTCATTATTTGGTTCTTTTGTTTCTTGTTTCAGTTGGTTTGTAAAGTGTCTGGCTGCCTAGTTGTCGGAACAACCCCATATTAACAGCCCCATGTAGTTAGCTTTAGCTGGATATTTGTCACACCATGTGTGGGTTTGGTCCTTGTCACAATGAATATGTGGGTGGTTGTATTTTTCTGTCATCTTTGCTGTCACAAAATACGAAGATCTAGAAAATTTAAGAATCAAAATCCTTCTCTCTTTAGCTGTGAAGCAATATCTCTTCTTTTCACCTTCCACTTCTGTGACTTCTTCTCACAATCTCTTCTGACTTCTATACCACTTTTATTTCTTAAATCTAGCTTCTCAAATTCCACCAAGCAAACTGCCTATTCTTGTATTACCTCTAGGAATTAGCAAAGCAATGAGTTGTAAACTGAAATTTAGAAGTCCAAAAAATGCCTTGTGTATTACTTCAAAATGAAAATAGGCTTTGAAATGGTGAAGAAATGAACATGGGTGTCTATGATAGTTAGAAGCAGGTTCGTATCAGAAGCTCTGGAAGTCTGAAATGGAAGTCATTCGTATGCTATTGCTTGATTCACGGTACAGAACATATTTACTATGAGCGTGTAACACAGCATATTTGACCTGTCCTTTACCTAATTACTTAAAAGGAGGTAAAACATTTCAGATAGCTCATGTGATACGCGGTTAGAGTTTCCAGTGGAAAGGTGTATTTGCCTTGGTAGATGCTACCTTAACTTTGGTATGCTGAAGATTTTCAGAAATGTGAGAGTGCTACTCCAAGGTGAGGATGTCTTGGGGGCTGAAGCTACAATTCTTTTAGGCATGCTCATGATTTCACAAACAGGAAATACGACCTCGGGTGTACAGAAAACTGTACTCCCAACCTTAATTGAAGATTTAGAAATTTCTCTCAGAGGAATATTTTCTGATTGACCACTTATTGGGACTTGGAGATGGTTCTTCTATAAATTTGTGACTGTCCTTTCTTTGAATTCCCAACCACCACCCTACTTGCTTGGCTCCATAAACCAAGAAAAGAACATTGTTTTATGGTTAAATCTAGACAAAGTACTGTAAACTGACTAATTCTATTTTGGTTTCTTTTTATTCAAAAAATAAAATTATTTCTGTAATTTAGAGATTTGGAATTTTGCAGTTTGCAAGATAAGTTAACACCTAAGATACAACTTGGTCCTATACATCAAAGACAAAAAAATGGCTTGCACAATGCTTAATGCAAGTGATTATACATGGATCAAATTCTCATTCCATTGCTGAATCCTGTTATCCTTCATCCATCTTGTTCGTCTGCATGTGGCAAGATGCACTTTATATCAGTCATGATCATATTAATGACTGCAGCAGAAAAAGTTGGTGCATGCTGAAATACACCCTGGTTTGTAGTCATTCACAGTTAATCTGTAGTTGAAGTTCAAACCAACTTCTTAGTCCAACCTATAAGGAAATTCCAAGAGATATGCTGTATCAGCAAGGTACTTCAATTTCCGATGAAGAAGCAGTTCCTAATTACCTAGCTAGAATACTGTAAAATACTCAAGCAGCTGAAGAACTTTTTAATTGGTGAATCAAAGTATTAGTAGCAAAGTCTCCATCTAGCTTGCCTTTTAGTCACCTTTGCTTGGTGACAGGCAATTTTGAGTTGATTTAGTATTATCCCGCTAGACACGGCAAAATATGATATGACAACATATAAAGTTGGGACTTATAGAAGAAATATAAGATAAAGTTGATTTGCCTTCAGGGAGACTAAAAGATTGGTTTACTTGGATGAGTTTTAACTAATAGAACAGCTACTGAGGGTATGGTTAAGAATGGATGTGGAGAAAAATTATCACTTAAGGTTGACTAACAGGGTTGTCCTTTAATTGCGAGTCTGCCTTGTTTAACTGTACAAAGAATTTGGGGTTTTCTATTCTTAATGATCCAATATCACCTTCTACTTCATATGATTGGATATCACCTTCTATTGTAACCTCTTTGGCTTCCAAAGACCATGATTCTAGTACTGTAGTATAATCTTGCTGGTATTGTCATACTCATTTCCTTCATGATATCCTTGCAGGTACTTATTGATCCCAAATGTATTATCTGCTGCTATTAGTCGTGGATGTACAATGCTGCATCCTGGATATGGTTTCCTAGCTGAGAATGCTGTTTTTGTTGAGATGTGCAGAGAACATGGAATCAATTTTATTGGGCCAAATGTAAGTTCTTAAGAAGATGGAAAGTGAAGTGTATTAAGTTTTGTCTTAATCTGGAATAAATTGTTTTAATTTGGAATGCTGATAATTCATGCTTTATGTTTTGACAACCTCACATAATTGGATGAGAAAGATGGGACTTGGCAATAAATCTGATGATACTAAATCACCTTAGTGAAGTGGTTTTGTCGTAGGTGGCCTATATACTAAGAGAAATATTTTGTGCTTTAGTACTCATGATTAATTTGTTCAAACGAGCCCTTGTTAATGCTGGTAATATCTAAATGTAGCTTATGCTTTTAACCTAAAGGCTGTTTGTTGCTGTACTAATCATACTCTCTTAAGGTGTTTAACCAATTGATTCCTTTTACCATGCTCAACTTGAGGAATCACGTTCTTCAGATGGTACAGATGTCAAACATCCAGGAAAAAGGTTGGCACTCTAGTAGAATAGACTGCTGCACGTAATGGTGTGTTCTTTAAATACTGACTCATTGTAGCTTAACCAGTTGATGCCTTTTACTACACGCAACCTCAGGTAATCGTGTTCTTCAGATGGCATAAGCGTGAAATCTAGTAAAAGGGGTGGTAATTTAGTAGAATAGACTGCTGCTCCTAATGCTTTGTTTTTTTAGCAGCAACTCCCTTGCGATGCTAAATACATTGCTGCTAAGTATGATGACAAAGGCATCATGAATTACTCAGAAGAAGCGTCAATCCAAGGCACGAGACAAAAGGGAAGGAGCTTAGTGAAAAATTTTAAAATAAAATAAGGAAGGAAATAGACTTAATAAAATTAACATCCTTGGCAGTTTTTCTTTTCCAGATCTAACAAGCAATAGGCATTTCTAGATGTACAAACTCAGACTGGCCCCTATTTGTCTATTTTTAGTAGCAGAGATGTCTTAAGGATGGATTTCAACATCTATGCTGTTGTGTGCAGTTCACTGTGAATACTCTTTTTGTGTTTACATTATAAATTGTACCTTTTATGGCCTCTCATTTAGATTTTTACAATGCATCTAAAATAGCTTCTTCAGAAATCTCTGCCCAGGCCTTTTCTAGAGGATTAGATTGCTTATTCCAAAGTGTCTTGCAGCCTGACAGTATCCGAGTCATGGGTGACAAATCAACAGCAAGAGATACAATGAAGAATGCCGGTGTTCCAACTGTACCAGGAAGTGATGGATTGTTACAGGTATTTGGTTTGAGTGCCATTTCTTGCTTTAAAATGATAGGTTATATTTATTTATAACATAAGTAGCAGTATTACCATTTACATCTCTTTGAACCTCAAATAAATTTTTGTTGTGGTAGAGTACTGAAGAAGCAGTGAGGCTCGCTGCAGGGATTGGTTACCCTGTAATGATCAAGGTAATCCTATACTTTAACTTTTCAGATGCACAATTATGTGCATGTATGTAGCGCCCTATCTCTGCGTGTTTGTGTACATATTTATATACATATACCTGTTTGTAGATGTATGCAAATTAGAAGATGAATTCATGAGTATTTGTGAGATTTTTTAAGTCATAAATCACTGCAAGTGAAAAAAATTCCAGAGTATAAAGATGCAGCAATGGTTGACTGACTTGCACCTGTTACTGCATTAATAACTTGATGATTTCTTTCTTGGGACTACAGATACTGCATTTAGGATGTGCTTATCTGTTCTTTTGCGTCTTTTACTATTGACCTATTGTATGGTAATATCAACTGTAGAAGTTAATCCTATTAGAAATTTGGATTCAACTGAGCACAGCTTGAGAAAAGCCCTATCCTGTACCATCTGCTATCAACTAACTGAGACCAAACCTATACTAAAACTATTTTCGTGTTTCTTGTGAGATTGTGAATCAAATACACATCCTCTAAGTTGTCAGATTATGTTTTTGCGTGCCAGCATACTTGCTGATGTACTCATGGAAAGAAACAAAAGACTTCCGCAATAGAGTAAAAAAGCAGTGTCATTTTTTCCTTATGTATAAAACCAGAAGCTTCAGAATTTATCAAGCTTTAGCAGATTGCGTTGAAAGAATTACATGTGGAATAAATGTAAATATTGAATACCTAGAACACTTAGAATGCAACATTGTTGATTCCCTGGAGTTGAAATTTTTTGCCCTAAATGGTTATGAGATGCATGTTTAAGTGAAATGAATTGCAAATGCATGTAAAGTCTTTGAGCATGACTTCTTTGTACATTATGCTTGAAGGCTACAGCTGGTGGTGGTGGAAGAGGAATGCGTCTTGCTAAAGAGCCTGATGAGTTTGTAAAGTTATTGCAGGTACTTTCATACATTGATTTTGCTTGAAACATGCTTATGGTTAAGCACAAGAAAGTGTAGTCTCCAGTTTTGGTGACTTAATTGAAAGATTCTGTGTGCTTGCCACTGGCTGAGCAACATTGAGCTAATTGTACCACACATCATTTGATACACTTGACTTGGTTTCATTCAGCATAGTTTTCATCATATATTTAGTGAAACAATAACACTTGGGATTTTTAGTTTGAGTGTGTTATTAGAAGTTAGCCATTGTATGATCTAATTAATTTTATATGTCTAACTAATTGATTTAATAAATCATTGCACCCCTGCATAGAGGTCCTGGCTCCTCTTTTGATGCATACTAACCCAATATGTGGTTCTTAGAGATGTCATTGTGCAAGTAGTTTTCTTAATGTTTGAAGTGGAAATTGAAGTGCTGTCTGTTAACCTGTAGACTGTTCACAAAAGATTCAATCTTGAAGTGCAATATATATTTTCTGACAGAAGGAGCATCTACCATCATATGTCAAAAATTTCACCTTTAAAGATATTATTTTCAGTTCTGCATCCTGCAAATTGCTGTGTTGTTAGTTGTTATCCTTCACTTGGTATTGTCAGATTTTTCTTTCTTGCAATAGTCTTTGCTTATTTTCTGTTCTAATTGATGAAGCTCTGAATTTCAGAGTTCATGCAAATGCGCAAAAATATAGGCACACTGATTTTGTTCTTCTGGCAGAGCATCTTTGACTTTGTTGATAGGTAGCTGTTATCGGGTTTGTAATTGAGCCCTCATCTATTTTTGGGATTGGTTTTTCTGGTCTGACAGCAAGCTAAGAGCGAGGCTGCAGCTGCATTTGGCAATGATGGTGTTTATCTGGAAAAGTACATTCAGAATCCAAGGCACATTGAATTTCAGGTACTATCATTTGATTTAATTTTCTTAAATTGTCATTCATTAAGATCTTGAGCGTAGATCTGAAATTATAATAACCTGGTTAAATAAAGAATATGTTGTGTTCTTTACTATTATTGCTCATGCTTCGTGAGAATGAAGCTAAGGTAGATGGACCTGATGCCCATGGATGCAAGTTTTTCTGCATTACAATGTCAACCCTTTTAAGGGCATTGGAGCTTATCGAATTATCACTGGTGGAATTATTCAAGTTAGAGTGTTGAATAAACTTGATAGAGCATATAGTACAACCAATCCTGTAAATGTTGTTAGATAATTAGTTTTTTGTAAGCTTAATTACCTAATTGAATTGCACTAAAATGAACATCTTGGTAATACTTTTAGTAATGAAGTTTCGTGGGGCTAACAGAACAGAATGCTGAATAATGTGGCACATGTGATTGCTAATCAGCCCGAAGCGTGGTTATCCAATCCACCTCTATTTTTATATTCCCTATAATTGCTTTGCAACTTATCTAATGAAGTTTATACTTGAAGAAGAAGAATATTTGCAGCTAAGAGGGACAAACAAAGTGCACATGCCTCCTGTCATGGAATAAAGGAAGCCCTCTCAGTATAGCCTGACAAAGAATTCCTCAAAACCTCAAATTTGCTATAGTCCAGACCAAAGTGGAGCAGCCTTAGGTTTGCTACTAGTCTTGCCCTGTAAAAGAGCACATGTTACTGGTCATATCCACTTACTGTTCAAAAGTGTGTTAATAGTATTATCCAAAGGATATAGGGTATCTTTCATAGAACAACAGGAAGTTGGGGAAACAACATCTGATGGTTTATAGTTCTTCCTAGAGGATATGAAGGGATAGATAATGTTTTAACACCTGTGGTATCTGAAGCATGAGAGAACTTTGAGATGCTTCAAATCTCAAGGAATGGTTAGTTTTCATATTTTAAAAATGTATATTTCATGGTATCATCCAAAATAGAAGTTACGCAGAAATGCATCTAAAGATCTAAGCTATACAGAGGAAGAAAAGGCTTGTAAAAACTCTCTTAACTTTGCTTCCAACTAGTAAGTAACATGCTTTAGTTATTTTGGTGATTCATTTGCTGTTCAAATATGCTATTCCATGCATTTTTCCAAATGGAAATGGTCTTTTGCACTGATACGAGCTCCAAACTACATGGAGATTTATCAAAGTTACAAGGCTTGAAATCATATTAACAAACTAATTGTAGCATAGGTATATTAGTCCAGTTAACCGGATTTCCATTTCAATCAAATTGTTGCACTTGATCGCGAGATTTGGACTTCATGTAAATTGCCCAATAAGATTTGAGGTTATGGTGCCACAAAATAGAGGTGTTCTGTCATTTCTCTCATCGGCAAGATAATCATGGCACTAGCTACTGCTGACTATTGTTGTGTCTTCGCTGTCTCTTTTTAATCAGAAAGCTAATAAAAAAATAACAAAAACTGATCGTTGCTTGTTTTCTGAATCTTATTGGCTCTTTATCAGTCTATGATGCAGGGTTTTTATTTCGGTTTTACGTTGTACTAAGGTCACTGCAAAGGGCCTGCAGTGACTTCTTTTTTAACCTGGCGTAGTAGCAAGATCATTATTATTCTCATCTCCATAAGAACCTGCAGTGTATCTTGACTGAAGCATATTTAATTTTTTTGCTTGTGAAAACATAGTTTTATCTCTCCTCTTGTCTGTATTCCATTTTCATTGATTAAGTAAATAATTTTTAAGTGGTTGTAGAACTATAAGCCCAAAAAAATAAAAAAGATCCCATTTCTTTTGATTTATGTCATATGCTGCAGTTAATAAAATGTTAGATTCACATGAATTTGTCTTTTTGTTTTCCAGGTTTTGGCAGACAAGTATGGAAATGTTGTGCACTTTGGAGAACGTGATTGCAGTATCCAGGTAATTTTGCTGTATGTTTGTTAATGTGAGGCTAAAAATATCAACTGGAGCTGTCCAAAGAAAGATCTAAGGTTTGCAAACTCAAGACCTTAGTTTTTGTGGAAAGGGTTTTAGTTACCAACATTCCATCGTCCAAATTAACCTGCAATTTTTATTTTTTTAATTTTTTTTTTTTTATCAGGGGAAGGGTGGGATAGAAGCAGGTAAGGGAGGATTTGACCCTAGGTCCTCTAATTCCTAGGGCCTCAATATTAGCTGCTAGACCAAGGCCTACTCAGCTCCTGCAATGTTTAGTTTAATGCAAATACTTTCATAATCTGGTGTCCTCATATTTCATTTCACTTTCCAGAAAAACTCAAAACTGATAAATCCATCATTGAACTGTGTGTTACATATCTGCACAATCAAGCTGTAGCTCTAAGAACTTAAGTAAAGCCAGCTAATTTTTAAGTTTCAGTATTGCAGCGTTAGTATGTAACCAAAATTTTAACTATTATGGTTCCTTTTTTCATCAAACCATTTTTTTCTTTTTTTTTTCTTAATAATATTAACCTATGGGTGCATCTAAGTTTTGTGGACTTTTTTTGTGTGCATAGCTTAGTTCATTTCTACTTTTGTTGGTATAATGGAAATTAAGTGAAATCTGGACAAGTTTGCTTCTTGGCAAAATGGTTTTTCTGCTGACGTTTCTTGAAATCTAGTTTTATGTACTTTGGTCCTAAACTAACATAGCTAGTTGGAGGAATGAGTGCAACTAAGTATTTGTGTATTTATGCAGAGAAGAAACCAGAAGCTGCTTGAAGAAGCACCCTCTCCTGCATTGACACCAGAGTTACGGAAAGCCATGGGTGATGCAGCAGTTGCTGCAGCTGCCTCTATTGGTTACATAGGCGTTGGTACTGTCGAGTTCCTTTTGGATGAAAGGGGTTCCTTCTATTTTATGGAGATGAATACTCGAATTCAGGTGGGAAAAGGCACTTCGGCATTTTATCAAATTTGTACTGAAGTATTATATTAGGGAATTGTATGATATATTTTAAATTAAACATAGGTGGAGCACCCAGTGACAGAAATGATTTCTTCTGTGGACCTGATTGAAGAACAAATTCGTGTGGCTATGGGAGAGAAGCTTCGTTACAAGCAGGCACGAGTTACAAATACAGAAAGTATAATACATAAGACTCAGTACTTATTCCCACTTAATGTTTTTCATTGTGGACAGGAGGATATTGTGTTGAGAGGACACTCAATTGAATGTCGTATAAATGCAGAAGATGCTTTCAAAAACTTCCGACCTGGGCCTGGTAGGGATTTTCTTAAGTTTAGATGCACTTATGTTGAATAATTTTGCTCACCAAATGAACTTTGTTTGAAGCGAAACAGTAGTAATAAGCTTTATGGAGTCTTTCCCAGTTTAAGACTTCTAGGAGTCATTAGGTTTTCCCATTCTTAGCCTACCTTCTGATGATCCAACTGAAAGCCTATTTTGCATCTGTAATTTTTCAATTGTTAGGATATGGTTTGTACCATTAGCTGCTGATGGATGTTATATATATGTGGAAGAATTGGGAAATATCAATTTGATGAATCATTCAGTAGAATGTTGTTATTTTGCTTTATTGTTTGTCACTGGGGTTCAATCATTCTAGTTGTTAAATGTGGCAAGTATTCTTATATAAGATAAATACTTTTGTCCTGACTGGTTGTTTAGTTTGTGTTCAACATTTGTTAAATTAAGGGAAGCTCAGAAAAATTGATGCGCATATCTATTAAAAACAGGGAGAATAACTGCATATTTGCCAGCTGGAGGTCCATTTGTGCGAATGGATAGCCATGTTTATCCTGATTATGTGGTTCCACCAAGCTACGATTCCCTGCTTGGAAAGGTTAGTCAACAAATATCATGTATTTGTATTTAAATGCAATATGGTTTCTTTTTTCCTTGTCTTTCCTTTTTTTCTCCTGCTTACAACTTCCATGACTTCTGTGATGAATGATACGTCTATAAGAATATGAATATTGGATGCACAACAACCCAAAGTTTGATACATTTCACTCTATGTGAGATACTGCAAGACCATAGAAATGGGCTTAAAGCATACCTATTGATTTGTATATTCTGTGGGCTTCAAACGGGTGAACTAGGTTAAACTGGTGTGCAGATAAAATTTTAAATTGAAATATGGGGATTTCTGTAATTCTTTGGGTAATTAATGAGCTATTTATGGAAATTCCCTGATCAAAATTTGTATTAAGTTGATGAGATGTGAAAAATGAATGTTGGTATCATTTTGTGCCTATATCACTTTGCATTTCTCTATGGAAAAAATGATGGAGCCTAAAACTTCTAAAGGACCTTGGCTCCAGTGAAAAGGTACTAAAAGTGGACATATAGTTACCATAGCATGCTTATAATGCTATATGCCATAGCAATGGCATAACATTTCCCGATTTACTTGGGGATAATTTTTGCATGTATGGGAGTGCTTGAATGGACGTTTTAGTTTTTGAGATTTGCAGTAAGCATTTATTATTCATTTTTTGGGATGCTGTGGGGCATGATATTATAGAAACATGATCTGTGGTAGCTATATGGAGATTATATGGTTATGTATTGTACTTCAGCTGACTGTCATCTTCACCTTCATTTTCCATGATAGCCCTATCCCATAATATTAATGTTGCTTGATGTGAATTTAGCTTATCGTATGGGCTCCAACAAGAGAGAAGGCAATTGAACGCATGAAAAGGGCTCTTGATGACACAGTCATCACAGGTGAGATGGGATCCTCCAGCTTATTTTTCTTCCCTTGCCCGGATTGGCAAATCATTTTTCCATCATCAAATGAATTTGGTTGAAAAGTTTGCCTTTCCTAGATTAACACATTCACTATAAGCCAAGAAAATGGAGGAACAAATGACTAAACAGGAACGGGATATTTGGACTTCAACATGGTCCTATCCTGTCTCTATATTCAGTTTCTTTCACTTCTACCTGATTGTTATTTCTCAGAACCAAAAGTTGAGATTGACCATCACTGGTTTCCATAGACATGGTTGAGCAATTTTGCTGGTGGTCCCATAAGTTTCAAATTTGGGATACTGTTTGATCGACCTCTGGAGTTATCAAATAACTGTACTCTCTTTTATTTCCATTAACTCTAGAGTTCTAACATATGAACTGTCCTTTTCCCAGGGGTGCCAACTACAATTGATTACCACAAACTTATCCTGGACATTGAGGTAGGCAAAAATTGGATGAAGTGATTGTGCTCTATTATTTTTTTATCTGGAGTTTGTAGGTGTGTTGTTGTTAACTGAAATTTTCATGTTGCCAATGCAGGATTTTAGGAATGGAAAAGTAGACACTGCTTTTATTCCTAAGCATGAGCAGGAATTGGCTGCAGTAAGATCTTGAGATACTCGTATTCGATAGTTTTAACATTTTGTTTCCCCAAATTTTAGTCAATCCCCCCACCCCCACCCCCCACATCATGGTTAAGCACTGCACATTTTCATGCATAGAGAAGGCAAACCTAGAAAAAGACGCTGCCTTCTTTTGGTGTGTGAAATGGTCAATTGGACATGTGCCTCATGCGGTGCTTCCATGTGAAAGTACCTTTTTTGGAACTTATCGTCGAGGTGATATTATTAATCATTAGTAGCACTAGAGATGGGGCCAGAAGCTGATTGTGCATTTCTACGTCAAAGTGGCAAATCTATTCTTGATCTTAGAGTGGATAATGTCTTAAGAATTTGAGCTGTGACCTAGCATAACCTACTTGAGCTCTATTATAGCAGTCCAGTCATGTTCTATCACTCTAATTTTGGTTGTTGCTTCCAATCTTTCTGACTGGATTGCCTTTTGCAGCCCCAGCAAATTGTACCAGCTACCTCGGTGAAGGAGTTGGCGAAGGCAGCTGCCTGATTTGCTTTGTTGTTAGTTTGATTGAGCTTGTTTACGTTGGAATTTGCTTTCCCAGAGCAGTCCAGATCCAATGCATTTTTTCCTTCAATACATTTTTACATTTAGCGAATTGTTTGTGAATGAAAAAATCAGTTTTGTTTTAGGATTTTTAAAAACAAAAATAGTACACCAAGGTTGTTCTCTATAACCTAGCACATTGTAACTGTAGTGTTTTGGTATCAGAAATTAGATGAGATCCCCCTATTTTCATCTTCTTGAGGTGGTGCAGAACAGTTTGAGAAGTTGGATCATTCGAAGAAATTACAGACTGTTATTTTTGTTATAAACCGTTTGCTGTATATTGGTAAATTGAAAATAAATTACGATAATCTTGCAACTTTAGCCCTGAGATGTGCAAACCTGAAAGGACCAAGAAACTTTTACAAAATGAATAGGTGAATGATAGGAGAAAGCCATCAGAATATCATACCTGGTAGCACTTATGACCAATGTGAATTTGCTGCTTTAAGCTTACTATACATTTTCATGCACAGCAACCACGAAACAAACTGCTCGTTATTTTGGGTGTGAAAATGTCAAATGTACAGTCTGCGTAAATGGCTTACTTCTGACGTGTGTATTTTTTTTTTTTAAAAATGTTGAAGAGCCTTTATCTCAGAACTCATCTTTCTGGTACTATAACTAACTAACTAGCTGCAACAGAGATTGGACCAAGACCTGATTTTGATATGCTTTAACATCAAAAAATTTTCAAGCAAAGATATGATCTTACCCGAATGAAGACATGTTAGTACTTTTGCTAACCAAAAATGCGAATATGGGCTCAAAGTTCAAGGTACTTTATTTTTATATGCCCTGTTAATCAATTTTAAAAGCAAAGATTTAGCTGCTAGAAAGATATATCGCGCAGAAGTACAGAGATTCAAAATATCCTCTTATGCTTCAAGTTGTATCATTACTTCAATTGCTAACGAGTAAATTGCTTATGTTGTATTATATAACCCCTTTGTTCTAGCCTCAAGGGCGCAACAAGTCGAGTTAAAAACTAATATTGCTCTATTTGATCCCCAATTAAATTAAAAATAGCTGTGCTTATGCTTAAACTTGAATCAAAGCTTGAGCTTGATGGGAAAAAAAAAGAGAGCTGGAACTCCAAAAAGCAAAGGAAGGTTGAGCTCAAGCAATTTACTCCTAGAACTTCACCAGTAAACATGACCGTTCACTAGAATTTCAAGTCAAGAAATTTCACAGATCTTTAAATTGGAAATTTCACCGTAACTAGTTCATTGCCACATGCAAAGTAATGTGAAATTTAATTGATATAATCATATTAGCCTTGATTCTTAATGATGTTATTATTACAACTGTGACGCCCCACTTCTCCCTAAGGCGAACCAAAGGGTATCTGCGGGTGTCTGCCCAACTCTCGTCAGGACTCAAGCAATTTCTATTCAATCTTATAGCGGTACTAGACGTCAACAACCAGATAATATAAATACAATTAGTGCAGAAGCATTCAAGCTTAGCAATATTTAACAATTATCCAATCCTTACATCGGGTTTCCATAATACAACCCAAAATATACAATAGCCACAATGCCTAGTCAATATTATTGGAACCCTATTACAAAAGTACAAAAGGGAATTTCCTCCGAGTCTCATTCCAAATCCAATCCTGTTAAGAAAAACAAATCTACAGGGTGAGCAAAATGCTCGTGAGGCCAAGAACACACATGCAAGCATATTGTTCAAGTAACAAACCCAATTTACAAATCGAGCAATAATATTTCAATAATTAATAAATTCACTAGAAAAGGAAACAGAAACAATTCAAGGATACTGAATCTCTCAGGAGTTATATTCCACTTGCACGATCAATAACCACCACGAATTGACATTCTGTCAATCGGGTAGGTTTAGTCCGTAGAACTCCATTTAACCTGTCCCCTTTCACCTTACATACCCCTGTATCGGGCCTGCCTGTCATTTATTTAAGTCGATACTACTCGAGTATGCCAAGCGAGATCTCTTACTAGATCAACCTTTCCTTATTTCCCATGGTTTACCAAGGAGCCCGACCAAACCCATGCCGACTCGAGTCCAAGGATGACCAATGAGGTTTGGGCGTCCCCCATGTATATTTGAGTGTCGAGGAGATTCACTCCAATGACGTATGCAGCCATAGCATACTATTTCAAGTCACTCAAGCATGTGGTATATTCAAGCAATCGAGATATGCAAGTATTCAAGTATGAGTTATTCATTTCAAGCGAGAACGAGTGCAATAAAGTACACGCTCGTCTCAGATTTCAAAATCTCAAGTATCAATAACAAGTAAACATGTATCGAGTTCATAGGAGTTCAAGTAACACACACTTGACACTCACCAAGTAAACAAGAAGAAACGGCACTCGAAGTTCAAGTGTCCACCGTGGGATCCTTTTGAAGTTTCTCTTGTGTGCCTGAGCAATTAATAAGGATTTATCACTCATAAACCCCCAATTATTGAGAAGATTGCACTTAGTGCACAATCTAAGAAAAATCTTATGAAAACGAACCCCAATCACTCGTAAATCGAGATTCAAAGATGAGTTTTAAAGTACAAAAGCAATCGAGTTTTCATCTTGGAAATCAAGTATAATACGTTCAAGTAACATCGAAGGAATAAGGAGAATTCGAAAAACTCCATTTCCTTAAGATTCGGAAATTTTCAGTTTTGATACGAGATCTTTGAAAAATCGTATCTCACTCTTTACAAGTCCAAAATTGGAAAACTTGGTACCGTTGGAAACCTTTTAGAAAGTGCTAAAAGTTTTTAGAAGACACTTTTCCATGATTCCAAATGGAAGGTATTCAAAATTTGGCCCAAGGTCACTGTTTTGGACACCAAGGCAGTTTTCGAGGTTGGTCTTTGGCAAGGTTTGTAAATTCGGTAAAATTCACACAATGCAAACCAGTCTCTGAAATTTGGAACTCCATTAGAGTTGCATACAAGGTTTAAAACACAATAAGTGGGTCAATAATCAGAGTTTTGAGCACCAAGATATGATAGCTCAAAGTTGCTGAAATTTTGAGCCTGTTTTGCCGTTTTTCCAGATTTGAATTTCAGGTTTTGGAGCTTTGGTTAAGTATCTAAACGGACTTGGAACGGCACCAAATTTGCAGTATTACACTACCATATAAGGGCCATTCCTCTGCCAAAATTCGTGGAAAAATAATCATGGAAAGTCAGCTAACAAAATCAATGAAGTTGTAAGAAGTTCCAAGGCAAATCTGCCTTGGACTTCCGTTTTTCCGTTTTCAAGTATTTGGCCAAGGAAATTTTCTCAAACATGGTTCATTGGTGTATACAATGTTTAATAAACACTCAAGATGTGTTTGGTAGGTGATTAACACCAAGAATTTCAAAACAACAAGTCCCAACAATGATCTAAGCATTTACTAGCCAAAAGAGGGTTTTAGTTCACCGAGTCAGTTTCAAACTTTGACCACAACTCACTCAATTCAACTTGGAATTGAGCGTGGTTGGTGGCGTTGGAAAAAAATTTCATTAATCTACAACTTCTCAGAAGAAACCATTTTCAAAATCCATCCACAACTAGCTCACATTTGAGCATCAAATGGTAGTTCATGTTCTGCCTTCCAGGAAACTAATGAGACAGAACAGCAATTTTTAAACAAATGGTTTGGCTCACTCAAGTGGAACCAGGACATGCATTTTATACCAATAGAAAGTTGGGAATGTCTAATTTCCAGTGCCACAAACGGCACTCGATTTCAACATCGGAGTAAAAAGTTATAACCAAAACAAGATGACTGCCTGGGCAGTTACGGGAACCATTTTCCAGTTTTCTAAGCTTTCGAAATCAACACATTTGGGTGACCAAATCATGTTATTTTTCAATGAAACTTTTCACACACTCAAATATAACATGTATACATCATAAACAAGTCATTAGAACCTCAAAATTTTGCATCAAAGTGCATGAACATAGCAGGGGCAAAATGATCACTTTTGGTCATTGCACCATCCTTAAGTTTCTATCAACAACCCAACATTATTTCACTAATATAAGCACCAAACTAACATTAATAACATCATCATTCACCAAATCAGTCCATCCATCAAAATGTGGGAGTTCATAGAGCCCACACAACCATTTTTCCAACATAAATATGCTACCCATATGCATGTAAGAGCTTAAATGTGTACTAGATCTCCCATAAATCAAGTTTCCAAGGTGTCGCGCCCCATTTTTTGAATAAATAAATAAATGGTTTAAAAAATATATTTTTGATTCGATTTTTGGTTGGAAAATGAATTTTGATTTAAAAGAAAAGTGGGCCTCAATGGGGGTTTTGAGAATGCGACGATTTGGCCCAAAATTATAGTTTAAAAAGGATTTTTTGAAATAAAAAAATCGGAGTCGCCACTTGGTAATGAGTTAAGGTGTACCAAGTCACTTAAAAATGAATTTTTAAAGAAAAATAGGAAAAAGTAGTAAGAAACCCCTTTTAAACGACTTCTAGTCTACGTAAACCAACGAAAAAGGTTCGGGAGTCACATTTGACGAAGGGGAAGGCAAGGATACAATCCAAGGCACCCCTTTGACCTAGCCAAGACTAATTGCGTGATTTAATCAAAGATTTTCTTGTTTTAACCAAAGAATTTATTACATTTGGATGTACTACATGAATGCAAACCCTAGACCTAGGGGGACATGGGGGGTAAAATTTCTCTCCAAAGCTTGAGTGATGCCAATCACATTAATTGTGAAACCCAATAATGATCCTTTGGAGAGGTCACACATAATCCTAAATGACGTAAAAATGAGTGGAATGCATGCCATGTGAAAATGTGAGTTTGTGTGAAGTGAGAAAAGTAATAAAATAATAGGATGTAAGTGAAGTTGTGCAAATGTATTTACAAGGTAAAGTGAGTAAAGAAATAATGTGAAAATGTATGTGAGATAACATAAAGTGCATGTGTGCGTGTGATATTATAAAGTGTAAGTAATTGAATGAAAACGTGCAAGAGTAGTGTGAAGTGAGAATGTGGAAAAAAGGGTTAGAATATAAAGTAGAAGTGTATGTGATAGTGAATGAGTAAAATGCACGAATCCTATAGGAATGCATCAAGACGGGAACGGGGAGTCCTAACTTTGTGACTTTAATTTTCCCTTTGATTAGAAGGGAGAACTAGCGTGCTAAGGCTATTTTTTAGCCACACTCGCTCGTTTCCCTTATCGAAAGGGGACACCCAGGCAAATGGACCCTATAACTAGCATGAAATGCAAAAATCCTAAAATGAAAGGAAAAGGGGTTTGAGGAGCATGCCAAATGATAAA